TTGCTTTTTCACTTAGTAATATATTGTGAATTTTACCTAGGTCATTACATATGGTTTTATAAAATGACTGTAATGACTGAGTAGTATTCCATTTTACAGATATACCTCAATTTAGTTCATCAGTCCTAGAACGTTGAACACTGAGGCTGTTTCCAACTTATCACTATTATAAACAGCACTGTGAGGAACATCCTTGTACACAAATTGTTGAACACATTTCAGATTATGTCCTAGAAAGAAATTAATCTAAATGGAACTGCTAGGTCAAAGAGTACACATATATTTCAGGCTTTCAATACGGGTATAAAACTGCCCTCCAAAAAAAAAGTACCAATTTACTTTCCAACCAATGAAGGCGACAGTTTCCCCATGAGCCTAAACAACACTGTTTTAATTTTTTCAATGTTTTTTATCTTTGTAAATCTGTTAACAGGAAAAATTAAGTCATTGTTTTTATTTGCATTTTTTGATTTCTAGTGCAATTAAGCATCATTCATATGCTTATTAGCCATCTGTATTTCTTCTTTTGTTCATTTTCCCATTGGGGAAGCTCTTATTACTTGTATAAGTTTTTTTTTATATATTAAGAATATTAACCCACAACCCTTTGTCATATATGTTAACATATTTTTCTCATTTTGTCATTTACCTTTGGTTTCTGGCATTTGTGGCATAAAGGAGTTTTTAATGTTTATGTAGTCAAATTTATCAATATTTTCTTTATGGTTTAGTCCATAAAAGTTACTTTTGTCTTGTTCAAATTTGCCAATACAACTGGAACTTAATGTTATGTTCTGTCCAAACTAGACCTCTTCATGTTTGGGTAGTAAAAATTCAATACCATAAATTTTGAGGATGTCACATTTTTAGTATGAAATTCAAAAAATGTGTGCTTAAGGTAATAAGTTGTCTTACTTAAGGACCCATTCCTTTAAAACTATGTCCTTTGCTCTGGTATTGCAAAATCAAGGGATCATGCTTCATCACCAACTCAGCATGTTAACTGTAGCCATGTAGTTCAGGAAGCCAAATATTTTCTATTTTATTTTAACATCCTCAACAGTAGAGGAGGAAGGCCAATCTCTGTATGTGGTGCAATGAAATTAGCATTTTAACTCGATATTTAAACTCACTGCAAGATAAACTCTTACCTTTAAAATTTGCATGTATGCAGGGCTTCACTGTAGCAATATGTAGTTATATAATTTAAACAGCAACCAGAAAAGGGGGTGTATAATTGCATCCTTGTTTATTACACCTTCCGGATCTCTTAGGATAAGGGTCTACAATATCCAATTCTTTTCATAATTCTTCCAGAAACACCAGAAACAGATCCCAAGTCTTAAAAACCTAAATTTACAGGGTGAACTGACTGTTTTCATTTTGTAAAGTGCTGTATATTCCTATAGCTCTTTAGTCTGCTACTTTTAGAAATGATAAAACAAAAGAGATAACCATATGCCTATTTAAAACTATGACTATCTTGAAGAATGCTATATCGTAACACCGATAAACTAATTTTTAGTACGTTAATAAATTAAGTGCTCAACACTTTCTTTTATATACACTACACGGACATTTGTGAATTTAGCTTATTTAAAATACTTTCCCCCAGCTTAGATGTTAAAACTCCCATTCTTCATAAAAACAGTGAGTTACCACCAGCTATAGGCTCTGAATTTTAGATAACACAGAATAGTTTCTCACAAACTTTCTAATTTACTCTCCCCTAAAGGCTGGAAAACCCCACTTAAGGCTTTTTATACTCCTCAGACATAGGAAAAAAACAAAACAAAACAAAACAAGCAAGACTTTAATTGTAGGGTCTCTGACACAAACATAAGGAAATTCTGAGTTAGATACTTCACATTAAGCTTTTTCCACTGACACTGTAACTTCTGTCAACATTCAAAGAAAATTCAACCCTGGTCAAAGGTGACAGTTTGACAATCCTGGAAGCTAACATCCTCTGTTTATTTGAACAAGTTTATACCCTCTGCACAGGGAACTGAAGTTTTTCTTGTCCCTGTCTTGATCTCTCAAATTCAAACCACTACACACTTTAGGGTTACATCTCAAAGATTTAACTCCACAGTTCGCCCCCCTCTCCTTCCAAGGAAAAGTGCTGAGAGAAAGTAAGCATCAAACAGTAAAAGAAATACATTTCTGGGACTAGTTTCCAGTGATCTTTGCAAAGCTCTAAACATAGTTAGTTCAGCTGCCTTAAAAATCAGCCCAAATAATCAAAATTCTTATTTCTTTATCTCAGAAATCATAATTAGTAGCTCTAAAAAATGTCAATAAAACAAGACTAGACCATAAATCCTTTACAAATAGAGTTGTAAAGAAAATGAGATGGATACTTGAGTTCACAGTCAACAGACACGTCACAGGAATCCACCACATTGGCACAAATGACCCTTTTGTTTGTAAACAGAGGCCAAGGGGACAGCTGAGAACTCTTCTCCTAAGATGTATATGGCAATGTTTGTGGAAGAACAACAAAGAACAATTTAGAGTAAAAATGAAGACTCTCTCTGTTAATACAGTTTCTACCAGGATTATATTACCTAGTTGGAAAAATACTTATCATCATCTTCATAAACTTAAAAAAAAAAAAAAAAAAATAAAAAGATTTTCTATTAAAAAAACAAGAGTTCATTTTGGAATACAAAGAAATATGAGCTTTAAAGAGACCAAATGTGATTCTGCAAAGCTGCAGTTATGCGTTCCTCTGCCGCACAGTGGTTAGGAATGCAGCTCTGGAGTCAGCTCCGCCTGGGTCTGTCTCCAGCCCCGCCACAACTAGCAATGTGACCTTGGACAAGTTACTTAACTTCTCTGTGGCAGTTTCTTCATCTTTCATCCCTCTGAGGATCATGAGTTCAAACATGGCAAGAGCTTAAAACAATGTCTGCTTGGCACACTGTAAGTGTATAATAAGTATTAGGTATTACTTTTATTATGTTTATAGTTTTAGGCATTGAAATATTTTCTAAAACTCTGGGTTCTGAGCATAATTTTAAGTATTTTTAAAATGAATTAATTTTCTGTTCACTTCTTAAAAGAATGGCATAATAATTATCATATCGACAATTAGTACCCTATTTTTTACAAATAACGTGCCCACGTAAATAGTGTGCCCACACGTACAGTGTGTGCATAGCTTGCTTACGAAAATAGTGGGGCATTGGGTTGCACGGTTGGCAAAAATGTGTAACGTGTGCGTTATTTGCGTAAAAAATCTTCCCAGATGAGCTCATGAAAAGTAGAACTATAGCCTAGGGTGCTATATAAATAATAGATGTGACCGTTACTGGTAACTTTGGCTTGATTTCCCATATGCAGAGAAATCCCCTACCAAGGGAAAATGAACCGTATTAGAAAGCACTTGGGTTGTCCTGCTGTCATTGTAGGGACAGGCCAAATTCACTTTTACTAGCCTGATGGGCATTGAATATATTAGTCACCAAATTAATCCCAACAGATAACAATATTTGACTGGCTCATCAATGTATTTCCCCTTGTCTTCCCCAACCTTTCTCTAACTAGTCAGAAAGGAAAGTTTTCATATTTTCTGAGAATCTCATTACTGCTCTCAAATCATACTCTACATCTTAGTATAATTTAAAAAATATGAGTCAGCACAAGCGTCTCAAAAAACTAGCAGAACATAGGATATGGAGATATTTCTCTTCATAAGAGAAATCTGCAAAAAAAAAAAAAAGGCTTATTCAGAATGCCAAAGGCAATAAAAGAATAAACAGAGAGTAAGTGTTACAGTAGATTTTGCAAGCTAGCACCAAAAGCAGGTAGAAAAAGATAAATGTTCTTTATCAATCAATACACGACTTTTTCATCTCAGTGGTGGTATAATACAAGAGAAAATGGATGTAATTATTATGAATAAACCCAAAGAAGAAAATGTTCTGTACGTGACAAATTATAACTTCTTCTTTCTTGAATATTGGAGGGAAATGGGAAGTCAAGATA